AGAACACAACTTAGACCAATGGTAAATAACCCCGGGCAGACCAGCTTCAGTAAAAGAGATTTATTATCCTAATGGGAGGAGGGGAAAGAGAGATCAGGATAGGAAAAGGAAGAAGAAGAAAGAGATAGAAGTAGAGGGAGGGAGGGAGGGAGGGAAAGAAGGAGGAGGGGAGAGAGAGAGAGAGAAATACAGGTAGACTCTCTTTCTCTCTTGCTTTAATTTCTCCTGTAATGCCTTGGAGGTAAAGACTGTGAAGGCGCCCCCAGAGCTCAGCCCCTTGGATTCTAGGTGCACTCCAGCCCAAGCTCTGTTTGTCAAGGCCTCATGTCTGCAGGAAGATGACCAAAGATGGACTAACAGCACCAGCTATCGCTTTGCATCCCATGGCCTGTGTCACTGAGTGCCATGGTAAGTGGAAGTGACGCCTCCCCAGAGACCATGTTAGCTCTGATAATACTCCAGCCTCCTGCCCACCGCTTGCCCTCAGGCCACCTGGTGGGGCAGGATACAGAGCACCGAGAGAAGCCACATGGCCCCAGTGGTCCTTAGAACCATGAGCAGGGAGTCTGGGCAGGAGATGGAGGAGACGCCTTCTCCTTCAGCCCAGCCCCAGCCTCGTGTCCTTACTGTGTCCCCCAGATGCTTTGGAAGCCACAGGGGAACTCTGAGGACTAGTCAACCAGTCTTCTGGTAATACCCATGTACTGAGGGAAATGCTTCCCTCCACCCTTGAAGCAGACACTTCCAGAGCCCTGCCCAGCCTTTCTGTCACACACTATGGTGTCAGTGCAGACCCTGCCCTGAGGCTCCCTAACACTCCCTGTTTCCAGGACCTGGGGCTCTTTCTAGACCTTTCTCTGGCAGCGGCCACATACTCATCCCAGGTCAAACTGGAAACACTGGGAGAGTCAATGCTTGGGAACAATTCTCATGGGTAAACCTTACAGCTTTCTCCTTGGGTGTGGGGTTGGGGGGACAACTCCAAGGCATATGTGGTGCCTCTGAGATCCCAGCAGGATGACACCAGTTGCTCATGCCTAAGCTACTCTTTAACCCACCTTCTCTTGGTCTCTTACCCTTTCCCTTCTTGCTTGCCTAAATCTCTAAAATCTTCCCAGGAGTTCCCTCTCTCACACATTCTAACCTTTGTTTCATGTTCTGTTTCCAGATGACTCCAATACAAACTATCCCAACCAAAGATGAAGCTCTCTTCTCCTGTCTTGTATGGTTTTTTCTGCAGTGCTAGCTATGTAGATCAGACATCATCCTCATCCTGGATAGGAGAATCACACAAATGACTGTACCAGACAAACACACAAAGCCCTAAAAAATGGGGCATCTGACTCCTGTGAGCACTCTTGTCAGGGAAGGTTTTGAATTGGAATGTGGCCTTGGAGGTTTGGGAAGGGTGAACAGGAATTACCCAAATAGACAAAACGATGGAAATCCAGCAGGATATAAAACTACATTAGTTCTTGATACTACCTATGCTGCTAGGTAAAAAGGTATATTTTGAATATTTATTTATTTATTTATATTTTTTATATATGAGTATTTTGCCTGCATGTATGTCTAAGCACCATATACATACCTGGTACCTGTGGAGGCTGGAAGAGGAAGGGATGTTTACAGATACTTGTGAACTGCCAAGTGGGTTCTGGGGGCTGAGTCTGGGTCTCCTCCGAGAGCAGTAAGTACCTATAAGCGCTGGTCAATCTTTCCAGGCCTAGAAAGGAGGGAAAGGCTTAGGGAAAGCACGGAGAGAATTAATGGCAAGAAGGAAGTTTGATTAGAAACAAACAAGCAAATAAACAAAAGATTTGTAGGCAGGCATGGTGGTGCATGCCTGTAATCCTAGCACTCTGGGAGTCAGAGGCAGGTAGATCTCTGTGAGTTTGAGGCTAGCCTGGTCTACAAAGTGAGTCCAGGACAGCCAAGGCCGCATGGAGAAACCCTATTTTGAACAAACAACAGCAAACAAACAAACAAAAGAAGTTTGATTAGAGGGACAGGCAAAATTTTGTCTGCACTGCTGATGCTGTTTATGTATCAGCTTGGAGAGGTATGGGGATCATTTGAAATTGTGTGTTATCCTTTTCTGACTGCTCAAGTATCAAATACCCATTGTAGAAGAGTGGACAGATAGATACCTAAGTAGAATAAAGGAAAAAATGAGATTATTCTGCACCTGTCGTTCATTCAGTCCTGCTGCTTTGTCTGTGGGTTTTCAGGTGATGGCATTGGACTTGAGTTTCAAGGATTTCACTGGCAGCTGGGGATGGTTGTGTGGTTAGAAAGACAAGGGAAATAGGGTGAGCAGGAGGGTGTGATGGGAGTTCTCTAGGGTTGCAGGAGGATTGGTGGATCTTCATAGGCATTCAAGAATGAGATTCTCAGGGCTTGAACACCAGTGGGGCAGGCATGGCACAGAGGGGCGCATGCCAGGTTAGCTAGAGAGACTCAGGCATCTTTACCCATCAGCTGTGGAGGGACCAGAGAATGGGGACTAGGAAAACTGAGCTTCCCTTTCAGCTCTGACACCTCCCACACATGGGACCTCAGACAGACCTCTTGAACCTTAGAGTTTGTGTTTCTTCCTCACAGCCTTGTCACAGGGGCACTGAGATGACCGCTCTTGATGAGAAGGAACCTACAGTCTCCAGCTCTCATCCTGAAACCTCACGTTCACCCTTTGCCTAATCTCCTGCTTCCTGTCATCAGTCCTCAAGAGGTCAGGGTGAGCCTACCACCCTCTGGGTGTCCCTTCCTCTCCTCTCCACATCCTCTCTACCAGATGCCTGTGTTGCCGGCCCTGTGTGTGAAAATTCTCTAATTTCCCCAGGTATCACCTACACTATACATTTACCCACTCATTTTATGTACCAGCAGATGATTAGTGAGTTCCGAGTGCCAGAGACACAGAGGTGGAAAGGGTAGACAGTGCTGCTCTTCTGGATCCCAACTGCCAGTAAAGGGGAGATGGGCTTAATTAATTAATAATTTATTAATTAATTGCATCCGTGATTGGCTGGAGACTGGGCATGAATCTTAGATGCATGAGTCTGAGAAGGGAGAGCTGCACTAAGACCCGAGCAACTCAGACGGAAGCAATAGCAAACACAAATGCCCCGGGGGTGGCTTTGAGCTTGGAATGGTGAAAGCATGGAAATATCAGTGTGACTAGGCTCACCTGAATCTCTTCCGTGTTGCTTATGTTGGCTTCCCTTACATTCCTGCCTTACTGATTTGGTTTCACCAAATTCCCGTTCTCCAATGATCACAACCAGTCCTGATGGCATTTACCTCTTTCCGCACTGGACTGGAGAACGCCTGGGTGTCAGAGATGGTGCTATGGCTCTCCTAGCAAGGGAGAGTCTAGACATAAGGCGGAAGTCGGGTAAGTAAAGCTCCAGGCCCAGGTAGCTCACCCTTAAACACTATAGAAGATGCCCTGCTCTTCCTGCCCATGCCCCCCCGGCCCATATCACACCAGCCTTCTCACCCACTAAATGTGTTTATTTGTTATGCTTCCTGTTTCCCTCCTTCTTCCGGGACCAAACAACCGGCTCTTTGAAGGTGTCCACTTGTGGGAAACTAAAAAAGGGTCACTTTGGCATTAGAGAGGCATTTTTGAGAACGAGCGTGTATTAGTTCTCAGCCTGACAGAACAGGGTCCCAGACTCCAAGGAGAACAGGGAGGGTCACAGCTTCCAGTGTCCTGCTAGCCTGCTGGTCACAAATGGAGCCAGGACTAAAATCCTGGGCTATGACCTTTCAAGCAAGCTGAGCTGGCCAAACAAAACTGTCCAAAGGCCCAGCCCAGCCCAGCCCAGCCCAGCCCAGCCCAGCCCAGCCCAGCCTGCAGGCCACCAGTTTGCCGTCCTCATCTAGTGGCACCAAGTTCCCATTTTGCTGATGGAGAAAACTCTCGGCAAATAGGTTAAGTGGTCCGGGTGTATGACAGGGCTGGAGTCACTGGGGTGGTGGCTGCTCCCCCTATTCTTACCAGCCCCCTTTGACAGACTTAAAGCCAGTTCTGGGAAAGTTTTGCTCTCTTCCTCTGCCCAGAGGTCAGAGCCAGGCGTTTCGGGAGCCCTGTGCGCCACTCTTGCCGAAGAGAGGCAGAAAGAGTGCGAAGCCAGGTTCTCTGCGAGTCCTGGGAGTCGGGCTCCCGCCACCTCGGAGCCCGTGGGAGCTGCGCCCCCGCCTCTTGGCAGTCCTGGCCACGCTGTCAGTCTGCATTAGCGCTAACAGGCTCCAGACCGAGCGGGCTGGGCGCGGGGCTAATGCAATAGGCGCGTTACCTGAGGCACAGGCTACATTACCAGGTCGGCCTCCTCCAGGCGCGGCCAGAGCTAGCCAGTCCGCTCCCTGCCGGCCGCCCCAAGCCCGCAGCGCTCCCAGGGCCCCGCCTGAGTGCCACGCGGCGGAGCCCAGCCCGGGCCGGCGCCCGGAATCCCCGCGCCGCGTGAGTGCGCTCTGCGCGCGGGACCGGTAAGTGTGCGGGCCGGCGGCGCCGCCGAGGCACATCCCGAGCGCGGCTGCACCCGCTAGTGTCCCCGAAGGCTCCCAGGGCAGTCGGAGGGCGCCCCCCGGAGCTGGACAGGGGCCTCGAGCCAACTCCTTTCCGTCACGGCCCGCCGGAAACTTGCCATTTAGAGGTTTGGGGGACAGCGAACGACCCAGGTAGAGCGCGGCGGGGTCTTTAGCCCGACCCACGGGGCGGCCCGAGGAGGTCCCCACCTATGAATTCTGTCCCAGTCGGACGCGCGTCATAACCCCTGTCTCCAAATTTTTTCCAATACGCGCGCGCGCTCCTTTTCTAGGAAGCTAGAGTCTACTCGGCGCACGGATCCCCGTAGTTCTGGGTTCCCCTGGGTGGTCTCAGTTGGTGCAAACAGGCAGCAAGCCCTGGTGACCGCTTTTTCCCCCTCCCTTCACACAAGCAGAGCTTCGGCGTGTCCCCAGAACCTCCGGAGTCCCTCTCTCCAGCCGCACCCATGCTTCTGGCGCGAATGAACCCACAGGTGCAGCCGGAGCTCGGCGGGGCGGACTTGCTGCCCGAGCAGCCCCTGGGGCCCTGCAAGACCGCCGATCTGCTGGTGGTGAAGGAGCGCAACGGCGTCCAGTGCCTCCTGGCGTCCCAGGGCGGCGACGCGCAGCCCCGGGAGACTTGGGGCAAGAAGATCGACTTCTTGCTGTCTGTGGTCGGCTTCGCGGTGGACCTGGCCAACGTGTGGCGCTTCCCCTATCTCTGCTACAAGAACGGTGGTGGTGAGCGCAGGGCTGGCTGAGGCTTTGGACTTGGGAGGCGGCCCGCTCTTGTAGTGTTGGCCGGGAAGGGAGCAGGCATGCACACGCGGGAGAAGAGAAGACACGGGAACGCATTTAGCGAGCAGGAAATAACTATTTAGGGCGATGGGGATCACAGTGCTCTCCGGTAGGGAAATCGAGGCAGGACCTTGGACAGGGGTTCAAGGACCGAGAATAGGGGGCACCTGGTTGGGTCGGGAACTCAGAGTCAATGCAGAGCTTCAGGAAAGGGGAGTAGAGATCGGGAAGTTCTTGAAAGGGTTCCAGAAGAGTTTGGGATGTTCCAGCCAGACACGACATGACAATAACTCTAGCATTCTTAGCCTTGGGGCTTGGACACTAGGGTAGGCAAAATGAGAGCCCATGGCTCACCAGTGGGCTACAAGGTTAAGTTCATACAGCCTTTGTGAGATCAGGCCACTAGATGCCAATAGCAAAGCTGGACCTTGAGGCAGGAAGTCTGGGAGACTGGAGTGTCCTCTTCAGCTTTGCAGGCCCTGTCCACACTGTGGAGTGGGGGGCGGGCAAGTATGGAGAAGACACCCAGCTCTTTTGCCAAGCTCTTTTGCGCCTCCTCTTGATGAGCTGGCATTTTACCCATCTACTCTGGAATGAGAGCCCAGAGGGCACATACAGCCAGCCCCAATGGAAGCAGCCTCAAGCTCCTTTCTGAAAGGCCTGGAGCTTAGCATGGCCATGCCACCGTGGTCCCACCACCTTTACTGAGATATAATGCACAGGAGTGCCCTGCAAAGAACCCAGGGATGTCTTCTAGAAGAAGACACCGGCCCATCCCTGGATCGCCTTGCCTCCTAGTAGTTCCGACGTGGAATTCAAAGGAAGTCAGTTGGAGGCAGGGTGAGAATTTACAGGGGCTGAAGTGGGGGGACCTTGTGTCCCCAGAGTCCAAGATGCACAGCTCTTTGTTTCTGTGTGTCCTCTGGACACTTGCTTTGGGATAAGCAATCCCCAGTATTTGTGAAGAGGGTGTGGTCACCAGAGAGAGCAGGTGGCTTTGAGTTGACCGTGTTGCCTGTAGAAGCATCAGTTCTGACTGAGAAAGGGAATCAAAGCTGGAGCCAACTGATGAGCAGTGGTGTGCTCCCTTCCTGACATGAGTGTCACCGTCAGATAAGGTAGCCGAGACAAAAGTCCCGAGTCTCAGGAGATGCTTCCTGTCTCTGGTGACCCTTGCTACTCTCCCAGCTCAGTACTCTGATCAGTAGACACTGGTGGGCAGAGGGAGAAAGCTAAGGAAGGGAAACACAACCCAAAGGTGAAACTTTTCCTCACATGGTGGCTGCAGATCCTCCAGGGACTCTGGGCAGATTGAGCATTCCGGCCCTTGGGGCCCAATGGTAGCAACAACAAAAAGGTAGATCTTCTGTATTTGTAGCAAATAGGGAGATGATAAATAAATGACAAATTGGGAGACCTTAGGACAAGAAGCATGTCCTTAGCAACTGTCTGAGACTGCTTGCCCTAGACATCAGACACTCGGTCATTAATCAGCAATGTTTCTCTGGGTTAGCTCAGTGTAGGACGTACTGCTAGGCTCTGCAGGGGTCACCTGGATGCATGAGCCATCATTCTGTTTGTCTGGAGCATCCATCCCAGGAGTCCTCATTGTCACGATGTGATAAGTCTTCTCCACTGTTACACACACATTTCAATGCATAGAACATATAATTTAGTTTTAACTAAAACAACACATTTGGCCAAGTTGACACGTGTTCTAAATAGATATTCCAGAGCTCTCATTGACACTGTGTCCACTTGAATACTGTCGTGATGCAGAGACAGCAGCCTGCGTGTACTGGATGATAGACTGTGTGCCTAGGACAAAGTACAGCAAATTTGTCACAGATGTAAAGTTTTTATTGAAACTGACTGAAGTACCTTTCCTAGGTATACTGGAGTGGCCTATCCTGAGTTGCTTCATAATTTATCTTTTGTGGACCTGTTTCCCAAGCAGGCTGAGAAAAGTTGAAGGCACAGACTGCTGTTTTCTAATCCCTGATAAGACTTAAGTCCTAGGAATGTGGTGGAAGGTTCCTACCCACGTGTATTGAACAAATATATTAACAAAATAACCCAAGCTCTCAGAGACTTATTGCCATTTTCATAAGCCATGGCCAAAACATTATGGGAACTAACACAGTGAAGTGTTGGAGATGATGAGGGTGTGTGTGTGTGTGTGTGTGTGTGTGTGTGTGTGTGTGTATGCACACACCCAGCCTAGACATTAACAGTCTTGGCTGTGAAGTTATAGGCTCCAAGTTCTAACTTGTATGGTTTTGGGCAAACTCTCCAGGCCTCAGTTTTCTCATATGTCCAGTAATCTTGTTCGGCCAAGAGGACAGGCAGGGACTAAATGCTCCAGGGCAAGTGGAGGGCCTGTGTGGAGTAGGGCTTAGAGAGGGTAGCTGCTGCTTGTTATCAGTGTCATTGGGATGCCATAGGAAAGGTGTGGGAGAACACTGGTGCTATAGACATTTAAGGAGGGGGCTGTTTAGTGGTGACTCAAGGGAAATCAGCTGCTCTGGACAGGGCAGGTGTGGCAAAACAGTGTTTTAGCATCCACCTGGGACAGGCTTCTCAGGAGGGAAACAGACTGGCTGGAGGGCAAGCCAGAGAGATAAGGGTGAGAGGCAAGTTGGGGCTGGGCTGTGGAAACCTTGGATGCTAGACTGAGGGGGAAGGGCTGCTGTACCAGTGAATTTCCATTTATGATCAGGAGGTTTGCAATTGGTTTGGGGAGGGGTAGTGTAGCCCTTCATTTGGGAGAACAGAGCACTCTTATTTTTAACACTCCCAACCTCAGGGATGCTCAGCTGCTCCCTCAGTCCCTGATCTCCACTGAGACCTCATACTGTTCTTTGTGAGTCCACTCTCCTTTGGTAATTCTGAATTCATCTCCAGAGATGGGCGGGCAGGCAGGTATTTCTTCAATCTTGGAAGAAGCCAAAAACTAGAGTTTTAATTCAAACCCTGATACTCATGGTGACCTCAAGCATCAAAGTTCCTAATATGAAAGAGGACGTGATCTTTGATGACTCAACAGTTCATTGCTCCCCAAGGCCCTGACAACAGCTGTACCCAAGCCAGCCTTAACCATCCTTTCCCTTACCACCTGGCTCTGAGTCTTTGTGTTCTTTGGTGCCAGTGTTAACATAAAACTCTCCAAGTTGGAGTGTTTATACTGGCCCAGACTGGAGAATGTTTTGAAATGATGAAGTTGCCAGTAGTTGATGCCCCTGGCTAATATTTTATGAATGAATTGCTGTCAAAGATCAGCCTGTCTGAACATCTTCTTGAAGACCAGCTGCTGGGATGACAAGCTATGGTTTCTAGATTGTTACCTTTGAACCCAAGATCAGGTCTGTGCTGGTCTCTGGGAAAGAACAAATATATAGGTGTTTGAGGACTCATGTCTGGAAGTGGCCTCTGTGAATTAGCTCCTGTGCATGACGCATTGCAGTGTACTTTATGGCAACCATGGATTTTTGCTTTTGGGCATACCCAGCTTTGAATCAGAGCCTAGTATTTGCTAGAAAAGTGTCTTGGACAAGTCATATGGTGCCTCTAAGCCTCAGTTTCTTTGTGCAGCAAAGAGAGTGGATAATTTTGGACCTTTCTACAGGACCAGATAACATCAGGCAATCTAGATAAAGTGCTTGGGATAATGTCACATAATAGTGGCAAAATAAAAATGCTAAATGCTACCATTTCTATATTTTTTGATGATGCTGGCTACATGTTTAATGCAGGTGTAGGATAAGGTACTAATTATGAAATAAGTAGATTTATTCTGAAAAGAAGTTAATGAAGGAGATACTTTTTTTTTTTTTTTTTTTAAAAAGAACTTCTTGTTAAGCCTGAGGCCATAATGTGACAGATTTAGGACACACACGTTGGGCCTTGTACATGTTCAGGCATTCTATAGCAATGGTTCTCAACCTGCAGGTCATGACCCCTTTGTGGGGAGTGGGGTTCAGAAATCAGATATCCTGCATGTCAAATATTCCCATTACTATTTATACAGTTGCAAAATTTCAGTTATGAAGTAGCAATAAAATAATTTTGTGGTTGGAGGTCACCCACAACATGAGGAACTATATTAAAGGGCTGCAACATTAAGAAGGTTGAGAAGCGCTGGTCTATAGCAGGTCGCTGTATATTGCTCACCCGGACGGTGGGCTCAGCATTTCTGCAGAGGCTCCTACGCTGTGGTTCTGAGTTCCCAGCACACTTCCCTCACTACCCAAATGCTTGGGGTCCTCAATACCACTAACACTGATATAGACATCTGGGCCTTTCCAGCTTGAGATATTTATCTAGCTTGGACACAGGGTTGTCCACATATGGATCTTGTTCAGGTGAGACATTATTCAGACGCACAAGGAGCCAACCAGCATGCTACTCCAGCTGTGGAGTCTGCACACCACTTCGAAGGATCACGGTACTGGTCCAGGCTCATTATCATCTAGTGGCCCACTACTCTAAGCTGGCCGAAAGGATCTGAAGGGCTCTTCCCAACCAAGTGGGATTTAATAGGGAAAAATGCTATATCTGTGTCTCTGCAGTCTCAAACCCAATTGCCTTAGAGAGGATTAAATTCTATGACCAGTAGACAGGGCCCAGGGCTTTCATTAGTGGCACCCCAATATGAGTCACTGCAAAGACCTGTTTACTCAAGAGAAACTCATTGGCTAATGCCCACCCTGCTACAGATATGCCAACCCCTGCCTCTAGGGAATTACAGTCTACTGTAGATAGTCTAAACATTCATGCTATATTATACATGCTCCAAATGGCGGAGGTGAGGTCCTACTCAGCTCTTTGTGGGTCACATTTCCTGTACCAATAAGAGTTCTGAGCATCCAAAACACTTTCGGATCTATTCCTCTTAAGGAGAGTAGAATAGAGGCGAAGGGAAACCAGGATCCCCAAGGCCAGGTCAAGTTCAGGGGTGACATTGTAAGGAAAGGTGCTGCGTATAGAGAACTGGCCCCCAAAATGCTTTCCCTGAGTCCCACCCCCACTGATCTCTGAGAGGAGCTGATTCATGCTGCCAGACTGGTGTGCTTCTTGATTGGAGCGGTCCCTGAGCCTCAAGGCTCAGCATGAGGCCACCTTGAGTCGCACCGAAAGAGAGATCGTGATTGTCGCTCCACCCAACCATGTCCCAGATTCCTGGCCATGGGTTTTCCTGAGCAAATGATCCCAAGGATCTGTTGAATAATGTTCTGGCCAAGGTTTTGTTGCCTTTAGGGACTAGGAACAGAACTCAGGCATAGGGTAGAAGACCCCACCACATAGGCCAGAGGATTCTTAGGTGGCTGATGGAGCTGAGGATAAAAAGGGGAACGCCACTACGGTGTTTCCTCTTGGCCATCAGAGTTCAGTCTAGAGTTCTAAGAGCTGAGAATTCCAAACCTGGGGTTTTTAACGGAACTGTTATAAAGGTTTCTCATCAAAGTAGGAAGGAGAAATGTTTGGATTAACAGTTGTGGTTGGAGTTGTTCTTTCGACCTGTGTCTATGAGAGGACTGTGTCCGAGCCGTGCAAGAGTTTGGGTGGCTTGCTGGTCTTAGATACTAGCCCCTGAGATGGTGCAGGGGCCAGATCTGGCTGTTTTAGGTATTGGCCTAGGCATTGTTGGGTCTGACGGGAGCCTTGGGCAGTGACAGGCCAAAGATGAGCTGCAGAAATTCAGGAAACTGCTCTGTGCGTTTTCACTCTGACTCTGAACACACCAAAGTTTGGCCAGAAGGCTGAAGGAAGTCTGTCCTCAGAAGGCTCGTCTAGGTGACCTTACTTCTTCTGCTGCAGCTTCCGGTGACCACATCTCCTCCACCCTACCCTAGTTCCTCAGGGTTGGGCCCTCACACTCCTCCCAGTGGCCCTTCCTTTACTGGGATACCCCTCACCTTCCCAGGAGGCTATCTAGTGATCTTAGTGGCTACTGGCTTCTCTTCCTGATGAACCAGCATTTTACACAGAAGATTCCAGAACCTCCTGTGCCACTGGAGTTCCTCTATAAGGGAAGAGTATCTGGTTGTGTGTGTCAGTGGTCCTGAGAGACAAATGCCTTTCCATTTTAACTAAATCTATCCAAAGGCTTTTGACCATAGTCTCTAACACAGCGGACACTTCCTTGCAAGGTGGCGTGAACATGTGTGTACAAAGGTCTAGTCCCAGCACTTCATGAGTATATATGGATGTGTGTTGGGATGAAGTCCTATGTGCTAGGGAACCTCATAGAAGCTGAGCCCTCAGGGAAGTATGTCCTGCTATGATTTTCCCAGGTCTGAACCCTGCACTTGCACAGCAAGGGCATTCCAGAGCTGTGACAGGATTCTGGACTTTCAGGCCCCGTGTGAGGTTTGTTGCAATGCACAGCCACATGGGAGATATACAGGGACACAAAGACACACACACACACAGGGACACACAGGCTATCACTTGGTGATGGCCCTTGCAGACCAGTGCACTTGCAAGCAGCCTTTAACGCCAAGATGCCGCTGCAAGGCTGGCTACGAAGATGACCTCAGCCCACCACACCCCCCACAGCTACCCTGAAGCCCCTTCATGTGTGAACGTGGTATATGTGTATGTGTGTGTGTAACAGAGCTCACACCAGTGTGCTACTTAATGTCTTCTTTTAGCAGAGAGAGACGTTGGACCACTGGATGCTTTCTGGTTTTCACTCATTGTCACCATTAAAACATTTTAAATGAAAGTATATTTATATCATACACCCCTTCCATTTTCTCCCTCCAAACCCTCCTCTGTTCCCCTCCCCCATCACCATTCTTGAGCCATCTGGAATTTGAATGCCATGAAACTTCAGCAGGGCCATGACAGAGTCATTCATTGTGCAGAGCTGTGTCTCATGCTGACCCGTCGATGTGAGGGGTCTCTCGCTTTGCTGTGGCTTGAAGTCAGCAACAGGGGAGATGGGCCTCAAGCTGAGTGGTTTACTGGGTTTGTGGAACCATGTGGAAGACTAGGGTTAACAGCACAGGCTAAAACAAACCTGTGACAACTTGGCTGGGTCCTTTACCTTGGCCAGGTAGAACAGAACATGGAGCCTCTGTTGGCAAATCTTGGAACCAACATCTGAGCATTGTTTTCCCTATCCCCTCCTTCTCCTTAGGGTACTGACTTCAGGCTTACTCAATTATTTAAGACCTAACTTCCTGCTTTGGTCCTAGCTCCAGTCCTCCAAGTAAATGACAGCAGAGTGGATGGGACTCAGGCAAATCAAGCCTTAAATCTAAGCTGTAAATGCTTGCTAGTATGAACAAACACTTGAGTTTCCTAAGCCTCAGCTTTCTTGCCTGCAAGGTGGGCGTAGTGGTGATTATCTCTCAGAGATAGTTCTGATTGAACCCTGTGTACAACCCAGGTGGCCTGCCATAGACTGTTACTATGTTGCTAATGGCACATGTTACTTTCTACTAAGCCCATGGCCTCCCCCTATCAGTGCTATCGTTATCACTACTGTTCCTGTGAGCCATGGCAGATGGCAGAAAGGCCCTTCCTGTGAAAGAGGGGCAGAGCAAAAGATAAATGGAAGAAAGGAGACCTCGACACATGGTATCTCAAAGAATCCCAGCCTGGGGCAGAGACTGGAGTGCTGTGTTAGCCTGTGACAAACAGACCAGATAGCTTGGCTTGTCCCAGATCCACAAACACGCCCCCTCCCACATCTTATTCAGACTTATATCTTTTATCTGCGCCAGAATGTTCTAGAATCTGCAAGATATGTGTTGGGAACCAGCCGGGAACTCAGGAGCCAGCCATGTCTGGGCTCAAATCCTATATCCATCACTAACAAGATGTGTAAGCCTGGTAAGCTCACTTGATTTGTCCTTAAGCCTCAATCTCCTCCTCTGGAAAGTGCTCACAGCACTGGTTTCCTACCGGAGGAGTTGTAGTTAGTACAGCTGAACTCAAATCCTTGGTGCCTTGCATGATACGCATGATAAAAATTTGCAGTAGTTTTTCCTATTCTCCACCCTTGGCCTGTCTCTACTCCGGAATGATCTGGGTCTTGCAGCGACAGGACCAGCAAGCTCATCATCCTGTATTCTTCAGAGCCAGACATGCAGAGGCAGACACTGGGTGAGTTGACCGTGGATAGTATGTACCTCTGCCTCAGTTCCTTTGTACTGAAGCGCTTCAGTTTCCACCCATAAAATGGAGTTAGCAATGATCTTATCTCGTAGAAATTCAGTAAGGATGTAAGGCGGTTGCATGAAGTGCTTACACTGCAGCAGGGGTTTAACCTGAGTCAGCTGCCAGGTTGTGTGTTAAAATCACCACTGTGCTCATCTTTACACACTTTTCAACTTTGCTCATTTTTCTGGTGTGGCTGGGTCAGAGATCTGCAGGGCTTGAGCATCTTATTCGGAGGTCCAGGAGGAGTTTGGTTCTGTGCTGGCTGTGTCAGGAAAGGAGCTACTGTTTTATGTTGACCTTTTTTAAACATCCTTGAATCATGGCACTCAGCTCACAGCTCATTTCGCCCACTGAGAGTGTCAGGGCACACAGAGAATTGTCTCTGCCACTGAGACTTGTCCCACTCCACCAGGATTGCCACCTGTGGCCTAGGACTCCCTTCAACTTCTAATTCTGCCCCAATGGGCGGACTTCTTATGGCCTCTTTGGAACAGCTTTTTCCAGCAGCAGCCTATAGCAGGATGAATCCCATGATCTGGAAGGAAGCCTAAAGGAGGATTCCTCTTCTGTCACTTATCAGCGAAGCCATCAGGAAGTGCTGACTTCTCTCTCTGCCTAGCAATGCCCCCTGGGGGACACAATGACCCCAATTACATCATTTTCTTTCATGGGTTGCTGTGACACTCTAAGGGGAATGCAGAAAAGTCAAGTTTGGGGAAGTCATGTGAGACCTTGCAATGATATCAGTCTGAGAGACTTAGAAGCTCCGTGTCTCACCTTAGGCACCTTAGGGCTCCCTGGCTGGTCTGTCCTCTTGCCTGTGCAAGGAAAGGCTGGGCTAACATGAGAAGTTCCAGAGTGAGGCTTCATGAAAGGAAAGGCTCTGGGTTTAGATGAGTTTGGTGGGTACTATAGCATGTGGGGCTTCCTGGTGTGTACCAGGCCCCAGAGACTAGGAGAAGCTGTGGAAACACAGCTCTGTCACTTTGCTTCTTCACTCAAATTTCACTCATCTGACTGCACAACAAGAATTATTATGACTATGAACACCATAGCTACCATGCTTGCTGATACGTCTTCCAAGTGTTCTGTATAACTCTATTGCCACAAAACACCCCCTGGGAACTGACCAGGAAGGCAGATGAATGGGGTCCTCACAGCTGTTGTAGATTCTTGACTGTGGTCCTTTAAGAGGTATCTGTCATGCAAGTCTAATGTTGCCTCTACGTCTTGTAGGTGCCTTCCTGATCCCTTATACACTGTTCCTCATCATCGCTGGGATGCCTCTGTTTTACATGGAGCTGGCTCTGGGGCAGTACAACCGGGAGGGGGCAGCCACAGTGTGGAAGATCTGCCCTTTCTTCAAAGGTAGGAGTGATCTGAGGAAAGTCAAGTATTTCCTCCAAAGCCTTTCTTGGTGTACCCTGAAGAATCTGCTCCCAAAGTGAGATTTACACTAGACCAACTCTCACATGGGGCTCCCAGGTATTGACAACATCAGGACTGTCCACCATTCAAATGTATGCAACAAAAGTAGGTTACATGAGGTATAGCCTTAAACTTGTACTCCAGGCTAGGTCCCACTGGTTGAGTGAATGACTAGAGTGTTTTTATATATGGGAATACAAAGATAGCAGGAATCTCAGTATACACACTTCTGTTCTCATGTCTTTCTTTCATGGCAGACATGGTAAATTGATCATGGATGCCTTCAAGTTCACGCAGAAAGCTGCCATAGAAAGGTTAACACAACAGCCATTACTGCCGTAAGATGAACTTGTACTTGAATTTCGAACAGGTCTGTGGGAAGTAGTCATGACAACTGCCATTCTCAATTCTCTTAGACTAGGGAGAAGGAAGGATGTGTATCAAGGCCAGCATTTCCCAAATGCTTCTTAGAAAAATGGTGACAGCAAGGACAAGTTTGTCTCCCATGAGACTCCCCTGAATGGACAAGAGTCTCTTCAGTACCTTGTATATACTAAGTCCATGGTAAGGACAGGCTGACAACGTTTTACAAGATACATGGATTGGCATCTTTTCTGTTTAGTCACCTGAAATCCAGCCCCAAATGGTTTCATTTTAGTATTCTTTCTGTGTTTTTGAAAATTATGACTAGTTTATAAAGTAACATGCAAAGTGCAGGGCTTCATTATGGAATATGTGTATAATAGATGTGAATATGTATGTACACTCCCCTTCACTTCCTTGATCCAGGTGCTAAAAAAGGGCTGTCTGGAACCTGTCTCAGGTTTGTTTTCTCCTGTTTTAGCACCATTCTCAAGTGCCTTCTTATTAATTGCTGGTAACGATGGCTATTAACAGCTACAAGGTTAAATTCTGCCAAGTTTGAAAACAGCAAACACGTGAGCAAACAAAAAAGCCTTCTATACTCATGTCTTCATTAGTGGACCCAGAGAAAGCCATCAGCGGCTTGACTTGAATCATATGATTGTCTGTTAACCAATCAATCAGTGTGGCTACAGGGAAGCAACACTCTGATTGGCCAGACTTGTATCCTTGGCTACCGCAAGGAAGCTGGGATTATGCCCATTCAAATTTCATCATTAAGAATTGCTGAGGATATCTCTTAAAGCAATGGGTGTGTAAGGAAACTTGTCTACTCTAAGGAAAAGCCACAGCTATGACTCCCCAGGAGCTTCCTAATCATTCAGGCAGTGTGTTGGCACAGCATGCAGGCAGGTGAGGGCAAGACAGGTGTGCACACTACGCTGAGGACCAGTCAGGGAGAGCTTGGTTGGATCTTTCCCTAGACACAGGCCCAGGGGAAGGATTTAAGTTTACCAGGGGAGGTGAGAACCTCTTAGGAGCAACAGCTGCCGAAGGAGAGCCCATTTCCAGTTAAGGAGCCCATCACTGGCCAGTTCCACCATGGGTAGGAAGAGAGAATGTGAGACACATTCCTGTGTTATCCTGCCTGAGTGATGAGGGAGCTGCAGTAGCTATGCTACAACAGCTGGTATGGCGTTAAGGCCTCGGCACTTTTATTTACCTGATGAGTGGACCAAGAAAGCTACAACAGCAAAAGGTTACCAGTGAGGCTCTGACAATCTGCTCCAGGAGGTGTGGGAATATGCAGTGGCTTCATCCCACTTCTAGGGGTGAATGGGTAACAGTGAGACTGGGCCTGGGAAAGCCTGTCCTTTTTGTCCCCACACAGGAGTGGGCTACGCTGTGATCCTCATTGCCCTCTATGTTGGCTTTTACTACAACGTCATCATTGCCTGGTCACTCTACTACCTCTTTGCATCCTTCACCTTGAACCTACCCTGGACCAACTGTGGCCATGCCTGGAACAGTCCCAACTGCACTGACCCCAAACTCCTCAATGCCTCGGTGCTGGGAGACCATACCAAATACTCCAAATACAAGTTCACACCGGCTGCAGAGTTTTATGAGTAAGTCATGAGTGCACCTCACCCACTCAGGCCTGGGCAGGGGCTGAGCTAGGGGCACGGCAGTCAGCATTTGAAAGGTGCAGACTTGATGCCAAGTTAGGAATAGAGGATACGCTAGTGTTTGGAGCACCCGGTGGAGCCTCTGGCATAGAGCAGTGGAGTGGAGGTTGGGAGCCAATATGGCTGCACGCAGACAGGAAGCAAGATGGTGTTAGAGATAGTGTGTAGCCTGCAGGACATAAAAGGTACTTGGGAGAGAATAATTGCCCTTAAGAACTAAAACTAAGTATGTAGGAGAACTGGGGGGGGGGGGAGGACAGCTTCTCTGAGGAAGTGGCTGCAGAAACTGATGATGTCGGCCTCTAGAGAGTCCAGACGGCAGCTGGTGGATGGTGACTCCCTAGCTGGAATCTGCATCTGTCTGGTCCTGAAGCTGTCCTTCCATCTACCCTGTGCTAGGGACTGCCATACTGGGGAAGCGAAGCAGATGCATGCAGCCTGGAGATTGTGTTTACAGTGTGTGTATGAGAGGCACTGGCTGGTGGCAGTGGACAGAACATTGTTAACAGCAGATACCATGTTTCAGTTGGGATAATTTCAGAAACAGAAAAGCCATAAGGAGAGTACACGGGACCTCCCTCCCAAGCTTCTCAGGTTCACACCTTGGGTAAACACTCTGCACTATGGGAATCAGAAAATTAATGTTTACCTGTTATTAGCTAGTCTACTGCAGACTCACATTTCCCCACTGACATCATGTTAGGATGTTTGGTTGTGACACCTGCTTAGTCATCTCCTTGAGTTTCATGACCTTGACACTTCTAGAAGGTACTGGCCAGGGATTCTATGAAGTGTATGTCAGGATGGATTTATTTGTTGTTTTCTCACATTCTGATTGAGGGTGTACACTTTCATCAAGGGCACTGGGGAAGCGCTGGGGCACTTTTCTCAGTGAGCCTTGTCTGGGGGACAGGGTGCCCATCTGTCTTGTTACCTGTGAGGTTAACCTTGAATGTGGTGAAGGTGGAAGCCGCCAGCTTCTTCCTGGATAGGATATTTTTGCTTTGGTAATTTGTGTCTTTCAGAGAGGTACTTTAAGGCTACGTATCTTGTTTCTGTCATTTTTTTTTTAAACACAGTATTGTGTACTTTCAAAGGATGTTTTATTTGTTTTTAAGATTAATTTATTATTGATACAGCATTCTGCCTGAATGTGTGCCTGTATACCAGATCTCACTACAGATGGTTCCTGGGAATTGAACTCAGGACCTTTGGAAGAACAGCCAGTGCTCTTAACCTCTGAGCCATCTCTCTAGCCCCTTCTCTCATTTTTTAACCTATAGTGCCTCTTATTAATTTTTGTGGGTAAGGCTTTCTGGTAGAGCGTTTAATTGCTCTCTGCTATTTTCTTCTAGAATAACTGGGTAGAGCCCTGCTGTAAAGACCAACTCTCCCCCTCGTGTATTTTATCCAATTTACTCACTTGGATAGGAACAGGGCCCTGAACATTTATTTTGTCTGTGGTTGACCCCTGAGCCACCACCACTCAGTCAGTTGGCCTCTCAGTCTGTGTCTTGCTAAGTCTTGGTGAAGGGAATGGCTGCCATGTTTTCATTCACCCAACTCACATGCATGTTTCCCTCCTCCCCAGACAGCCTCAGTTGGTCGCTTCAACACGGGTGAACCTTATTTGAGTGATGCCTTATACACATGTTAGTGGTAGTCCAGGCCATAAAGGTAGGACAGACAGGTAAACCCCACTGGGCTCCACCCTCAGGGCTCATATGATCCACTGAAGAAGCCCCTCCCCACTTTACTAAAGAGAAACACAGATTATGTATTTTGAGGCTTTTAGGTCACTTATGTAGATTTATTTCCCAGGTCATATACAAACCAACAACAGATGAAAGTCTGGATATCATCAAAGTCTACCTTGGTGAACCATGAGGTTTACTGGAGCTATTTCTATAGAAATGGGTGAGGGGTTACTTACTGAAGCAAATTTGACTCAAAGGCAGCTCTGTCACCAAAGCCCACTTCAGCATGGGTGACGGCTCACAGAAGCTGGGAACCTGGAACACACTGCGCAGCCTGCAGGCAGCTCAACAGATGGACAGTGCCCTTAACAAGGGACTTGCTCTAACCCCTTTCCAGGCATATCAGCTGGTCTCTGGTTTTTCCAGGCACCTAAGCTGGTCTCAGACTCTTTGAGACTCTTCTTGGCAGCTCTGTTCTTCTAGTCTCAGAGGAATGCTCAGCTTTTGTTGCTTATTCTGGCAATAAGGGGCCTAGTGAATCTGCTCAGTTTCAGGAACTTCTGGAAATGATTTTTAGTTGTCTACTTTCTCACTTAAGGAGCTTCCCAGTAGGATGGAACCTGGTTAATACTATCTTTTCCTTCTGACCAGTATGATTTAAAATGTTGCTTGCTCTATGAATAAGGGAATGCCTATTCAAGGAATCAGAAAGTACCTTGTCCCTTCAGTTTAGAAGTAGCATTGGAAGGGAGTTTGTCCCAGGAAATCTTGGTCCCAGGCTCAAGTGTTTAGCATGGTAGAGTTAAATCTTGGCTACACATTTGCAATCACCTGAGGAGTTTTAAAAGTCGCTGCTGCTTGGATCTTACCAGCCTGGGTACTGCTAGGGCAGTGGACTTTCATTACCAGTGTCTCCCCAGAATCCTAACATCCAGTCATCATTGAAGGCCCCTGGATTGGTCACTGCAGGTCCCTGTCTCGGGGAGTGTGGAGGGGGAGGTGATCTCATATTGTAGAAAATCTAGGGCCTCCTTCATACCTCTTCAGAGAAGCATGGACTGTAACAAAGTTCAGGTGTGAAAATTCTGGGAGTTTCTTCCTATTTTATGTATGTGGTTTGGACAAGGAGACAGTGACAATGGGGGATGGGGAGGGGCCTGCTGATCCCTGCTTCCCAGAATGTTCCTCTCACAGAGCAAACAGCATGGTTTTCCATTAGCTCCTGGCAATGATTGTTCTTATAAATTAAAGTGGTAAATGAGAGCCCCCCTCATCTTGGTCTGGTTACTATTTGATTCCTCTCCTGAGTGGATAGTGTGTACTCTCTCCTGCAGAGATGCACAGCAGGAGGGAGTGGAGACCTTGAGTGCCTTTGCTGCAGAGCTGAGCTTCTTCCAGGCCCAGCCAAGAGCAGAATGTGGTAGAAAGGGAACACATTCTTGTCCAAGGTTTCACATGGCCTTGGGGGCCTAGAGTAGAGAGCAGAAGGCAGGGAGAATGTCAGCAGCATTCTTCCCTATAGATTTCTTCTCCTTTCCCCCTCATCTGTTCCCTGCCCCTACAACTCTGAACTGGTTTCTCAGCATGCTTTCACACCCAAGTTCTACATACCTTCTTTTTCATTTGTGGAGGTGGAAATGAGCTATACACTGTCAGACAATGAAGGAGATGTCCAGCTTTAGGTCCGAGGCAAAGCTGGCCGCTCTTCTGTCTGGCCTAGGGCTATCATCTCATAGGTCTGGCTCCTGGTTTTCTTCTCTGGGACAGCCTTTGCAGGTAGACAGGAGCCATTCTCCTGCTTCTCTTTCTTAAGTCAGGCCTGCCTATGGGCTTCTCAGAACACAGCATTGTCATGGCTGCCTCTGGATTTTGTGTAGTCCATGTCCCTTTCATTGAAGTACTTTGGCTTTTAAGACAACTCAACTCTGAAGAGGCAGCAAATGTGAACCAATGCCAGCTCTGTGGATGTTGGGTAATTCCTTCTTTTCCCCCCGGGGTACCCTGGCCAAGTTTGTTCTACTCATTTAGGCTGACAGACTGAATATATCATCCGGGGAAACAAAACAGCTGCTTTCTCCAGGCTCTGGGCCTGAAGCCACATAGCCCCACCACGGAAAGCCACTAAAGTTCTAGCCTTATCTGTAAAAGGCACCTTTACTGAATGTGTCAGGATAGAAAATTTCTACCGATGACACCGATGGCGAGGGAGTAGATTCTCCCTCTTCCTTAATACTAACTCTTCATGCTTAAATGTCAAGTGAGAATTGTAGCCGTTTTGGCCCACAGGCTTTGGAAAAACCTAGATGGTGCCCTCCGTGCTGAGTCACACTCATTAAGCTGCTGGAAAAAAAATACAAATCTAGGTTACTTGTGCCAGCCCCATAGCCTGGGAGGGTGGCAGCTCAGTCCTCTCCTCCATGATCAGCTCTGGAGTCTGGTTTCTAGGGCATTTCACCAAGCTTCAGACAAGTAGAGGTGGTATTCTTTACACACAGAGAATGACAGACAGACAGACAGACAGACAGAGACAGACTGGGAGATTTTTTTACAGTCACATAAGGCAAATGGCAATTGACACTAGTCAACATTTGGCCCATAAAACTATCAGACAAAACAGAGTTAAATATCAAGTGAGGGTAGACTAGTCCATATCTTTGGTCATGTCCAGCCTCGCATTCTACTCTATTCCCACCCCATTTTTTTTCCTTTCCTCCCCTCTCTTCCCTTTCCCTTCCCACCTTCCATCCATTCTCTCTCTGGAAATAAAGGCTATGAGTCAGGGAACCAGTTCCTCTGCAGACTCCTGCTATTCCTCCCTGAAGCCTGAACCCAGATGCAGTTATAGCTAGAGCTGCCATTTGTGGGACATTTCCTGGGCTCAATATATAGCCCACATTCTGCAAGTGAATGCCCACGAGAATCCTTTGTTAAAAAGTGAAGTCTGTATGTGGGGAAATGGCAGGTCTCTGCCCTGGGCACTATGAAGGACCTGGAGAGTTTTACTACAACCAGAAGGAGGACTTATTAAGAGAAGCAAAAGCATGCTGGAGACTCACCTTTCCTACCTAGATATCTTTGGGGGTGATTCTGGGTTCTCATTTTTTTTAAACATAAAATTAATTCTTAGGCTTAGCAAGAGGAGTTGAGGACATTTGTCTGTTCTGAATCTCACATGTAGCTGCTGGACCTGGGCTGAGTCCTAGCCACCCAGGACTGATTTATCTACCTCTTTTTCCTGGAAGACCTTTGTGCAGTGAATCTCCACATCATACTGTGAAAAATGTGTCTATTATGAGCACAAAAATTTGTGTCTTGCCAAAATTCATGTCTCTACAGTGTTACAGAATAGCCCTTTCCATTACTAAGCATTTACAATAATCTAGATGTGATATAGAATATACAAAGGGACCTGCATAAGAATTATCAAATGCAATGCTATTTTATCAAAGGGACTTGAGAATCCACCAATTTCAGTATCCCAGGAAGGTTCTGGAATCAATACCTCAGGGATCCTGTGGGACAACTATGCAGTCACTCTTGATGTCCCATGTAAAAGCTCCTCTGGCAGATGGATCAGGAGCCCCACGAACTGAAAGGGTTAAATACATATGTCAAGGGTGATTGGTGAGCCCTCAGGGAGGAAAGGACATTGGAGGCAGCAACTGGCAGCCAGCTACAGCGTTTGAGTGTGACACTCAGAGGCAGGTAGACAGAGACCATTCGGGGAACCTCCTGCACCTTCCTGACTCTTTCTAGCATATTTATTGTGAGTTCACACTTAATGCTACTGCTAATGTTGGAATGCAACCCCACCAAGGCAGGGATTGAATGCCGAAGGATTCCAAGTGTGTCTGTGGTCCAGACAGGCCAGCCTACAGCAACATTCTAGAGGATCCCATGACATAGATATGGAGCCTCTGCATCTTGTGGGTCACCCTCTCCCTGTTGTCTTATTTGACCACATTGCCAAGTGCTTTAGGTTCTGATTAGCAAGTGGTCATTTTGCTTGCTGTTCTGTTTTTCACTCCTTCATGTACATAGTATGTACAGTCTTACATACTTCGGGCTTACAAAATGTTTGTTCTGTTTGTTTGCATTGTTTAAAAATGGCTTTTAATGAAGGATAATCTAGCACAAAGAAACATATCACAAAGGGCTAGCACAGTAACTGTCACAACTGAACAGAGCCATGTGACCAGCACCCAGCTCAGGAATCAGGGTCCCTAGAAGTGCTCTCGAGAACCTTCCTAGTTTGTGGCCCTGACTTCCAGCCCAGAATGATTTTTGTTTTGGGGGTTGTTATCTGTGTACATTACTTTTACTAATGGTAGATATTGCCACTTTGGGGCTGCTGCTGTATGTGAACACTGTTCTTTCTCCTACCGAGAACTGCTAGTTTAGAAAGTGAGGTCTGGAGAACAGTTTAGAACCTCCCCTGTCTCATCACCATGTTCCCAGGGCCAGCAAGCGGCACTCCAGTAGGTCTTCCTAGATGCAAACCAGAGATGACCAGAGCTGGGCCACACAATGACCCTAGAGTTAGGGAGGATGGCGGGTCCTGTCTCCATCATCCTCCTTGGTCATCTTCCCGGCTGCCGTTCTCTCTCCTGCTCACAGGCGTGGTGTCCTGCACCTGCATGAGAGTGCTGGGATCCATGACATCGGCCTGCCCCAGTGGCAGCTGCTGCTCTGCCTGATGGTCGTCATCGTCGTCTTGTATTTCAGCCTCTGGAAAGGAGTGAAGACGTCTGGAAAGGTAATGTCTCTGTTTCTTCAGCTGGGAGGTTTTCCTGGGGAAGACATGGACCAAGTCTTGTGTTTCCCTAGTTACAACCATATGGTTGGAGCAAACAGGTAGGTCTAGGATCACAAGTTCAGGTCACACCCTCATCTCTGCCTCTGTATGATCAAATCTGTTATCCTAAGCCTAGCTCTGCCCAACAGCAGAGTAAAGGGGTGCCCGTGGATCAGGCCTCCTCAAAGTTCCCCTTGGAAGCTTCCATAATAGCAGAGATAAGAGCCTGGGGCATCCTTTAAGGTCTAAGATCAAGGCTGAAGCAACTGCTGACTGATCTTTGACCCTGAATTCTCGCCTGAAACTGTCTGTACGTAAGCATGGCACCCTACCCGGGAAATCAACAATTCACTTTACCGTACAATCAATAAATCCACACTGAATTTTTGGGAGAAAAATGTTTTGAATGGTAATTATATGCATGATTTTTTGGTTTGTTTGTTTGTTCTAATTCAGTACCCCACGTGTCTAGGTACTTAGGAGAAGAATACAAGGTTAGCTAGCCAGTGAAGTGGCATTCGGAACTTGGGTGGTCCTGTCTTCTGTGGTCTCCTCTGACAGATAGAATATGCTTAGGGGTTGGGTCCTGTTGATTCTTAGCTTGGGGCTTAACATGGGAATAACAACCCCACTGAGACTCTATGTAGTCTAGAACTCAGCTGCAGTTAAGGTGATGGAGCTAAGAAGTGTTCTTTCCAATGTTTTGCTTTGTTCTGAAGATACTGCTTTGGAGTTAAAAGCATAGAGTATAGAGAGTTAAAATAGGCAAACATCTTTCCATGTCTTCAGTTCTGGGAACTAACTGGGCTCAGCTGGATGGTTCTTCTGCCCTGTGTGATATTGCTTGGGTCATATGTCTGGAGACCTGACAGGACTGGAATACCCTAGGAGGTTGAGGCTGTCTGGGAGCTGAGTTGGAACCATCAGATAGTGGTTTTGTAGTTATTCCCATGTAGTTTTTCTGTGTTCCCTGGACATCTCACATCATGATAACCGACTTCCCAGAGCACAGTACAAGCAGAAGAGACCCCACATGAAGTAGCTCTTTCAGTCTCTGCTTGCATCATGCTTGCTCTTTGGCCCAATGTCAAACCAATCTAGGATCACTGTCATCCTGATGATTGGCACATAGTAGGTCTTCATTAAATGCTTATTGATGGGTTGAAGGAGAGGTGAGTAAGCTTGGAGAACTTTATTATGCACTTAACTCAACTTATTAAGCCTTATAGACACCTACTATGTGCTATCTTAGATGCTAGATGGTCTTGGGGTCAGCCCAGGTGTCTGGCGTTGTGAGTCTCTATACAGAGGCATCTATGTGTAGCCTCCTTTAAATAAACACCAGTGGTCACAAACTATGCTTGTATTATGTAGTTTGCTTTTTATTTTAAACTTAACTTTACCCTTAGAAATAATTTCACATGAGGTAGTTCAGTTATAGCTTAGTAAAAACATAAACTGTTGGGTTTGAAACCATTATTAAGTTAACATAGTAGATAGCTCGCTACATCTAGACAGACAGATGTATCTTAGTGTAGCTTGTATGTTTACCTGTACATTGACTTGAAATAGGCCGTATTTCATACTACAGGCCAGAGTCAAAAATGTCGGAGATACCACAATCATGGACAATGGGTGCTCTTTCAGCTGAGAAGCTCTATAAAGGCTGCAGAGAAGGTCATACCTGTGCTACACCTGTCAGGATAGGCATGGGCAGAAGTGAGGAGGAAAAGTTTCTCTTTGGAAGAGACGGTGTGAGCAAAGCTACCTAGACAAGCTCTGCTTAGGGTTTTCTGTGCTGCTCTTGGCATGAGCAACAGGTTTCACAGCCCCTCCTATGAGCTGCAGAAGATGGGTCTGGGGCCATCAGTATTCTAATACGAAAGCCAAGCTTATTCCTCCCAGTCATGAGCAGACCATAAGCTGCTGGCTTGTGTTACCAAGAGATCAGCAGGAACAGGACTGACTGAGCATGCTCAGTTTCTCTTGCCAAATGTACTTTCTGAGGAGAGGAGGAGTGTTTCACCAGGAAACATGAAGAGGGTTGTGCAAGGCCCTTCAGGGTCAACTGAAACTAGGGCCTGGTTTGTGTAAGTCCCCCCAGTGTTCTGAGGTTTGAGCACACAGAGGCCCCAGGTGGTCTGTGAGGAGGTCATTTCTAGAGCTGGATTCCCTTGGGACATTCTATTGCACTGTCTTTAATTTTTTTTTTTTTTTTTTTTTTTTTTGTAAACTGGCTGATGAGGAATCCAAGCGCATTGCTTATTTACTTCTGGGACAGCACATAGCTTTTCTTAGTCTTCCTCCAGAGTCACAGAGGGGGTCTGGAATGAGTCAGGCATGGGCAAGTGAAGATTATTTGGAGAGATGCTGACTGCTTGGCTCTTGGGAAGGAGGGAGCAGGGCATAGTCTGAGCCGGGGGACAGGGATACCCCAGACCACACACCCAGTGGCATCTGCGCTGGCCCAGTGAACACCTCAGAGTAGAAGGAGGTCAGAAGGGAACAGAAACAGTGCTGGCCTCCCCCTCTCCCGAGTTCCCACTCAATCTGTTCACTCACTGCACTATACTCTGAGAAACTTCAGAGGCCCCTCTTCCAGGGAGACAAGAGGAGATGATGGAGCTGGCCAGACATTCCTCATTATCTACTTTACGGCCAGCCTTGGGGCCATTTGGAAGAGGGGAACGTACAGCTCATGTCCTGAATTCTAGCAGAGACTGTGGAATGGCAAGAGAGAGAAAGCCAGACAAATTCAGAGATTATTATACAAGCTGATCCTGGCTTGCCTTTGTGATTTCACTGATTGAGTTACACAGATCAGAGTCATTTGCATATGATCCATGCTTATACTAAACTATTTATAGCTTGTTTTTTTTTGTTTTTTGTTTTTTGTTTTTTTTTTTAAGAAACATCAGCATTATGCCATACCCTATGAATTCTTATGTACCAAAGGCTATCTTCATCATTAGTGAAAATGGCCCCGAAATTCAGTTCAAAGACCACAGATCCTCTATCTGGAAAGTTAATGAAGTTTCACAGGGATACGGTGTGGATATTTACTTCATTATTTATTTTAATTCTTACTTGTGTGTGTACATGCATATGCTTGCATATGTGTGGGTTGCATATATGTATTTGGGTGTGTGTGGACATGTGAAGCCCAAAGGGAAGACTTCAGATTGGCACTCCTGTACACTGTTTTTATTTGTTTATTTGTTTGTCTGACACAGGGATTCTCACTGATCTGGCATTTCCCGAGTAGGCTAGGCTAGCTGGCCATCAACTGTAGGGGGCCTCCTCCCAGCAGGGTGGGTATTTTTATTCTCAGTGTTGGACTGTAACCCCCACCAGAACTTCTCCAAATCTGGGTCTAAGCAGACCCCAAGGGGCACCTTGGTGAAGCTCAGATTTCTGGTCTTTCCTGAAGAGATTCTGATTTGGTATGGCTGGGGTAGAAGATCCCATTTCTGATGAGCTCAGTTCCTGACATCAATGCTAATGGTCTATGGACCTCATCACCTTGACCAAGGCTATCCTTGATCTGATGCTAGATGCATAGTGAGGCCAGCATCTTTTCAATAATGGAACTGCAGCCTCCTCCTGGGCCATCTGGAGGCTCTTTTATGAGAAAAAGTCTTCTCTGTTTTATGATCAGCCATTGGTTTGAGTTTGGTACTATGCAACTTCAGAAATTTTTCACAGACACAGCCAAGTGGGTACAAATTTATGTTTAAGGATGGCTATGATGGAACATGCCTTTCTTTAATCCCAGCATTCGGAAAGCAGAGTAAGACAAATGCCTTTGAGTTTGAGGCCAGCCTGATCTGTTAGAGCAGGTTGGCAAAGACCACCTAGTAAGACCAAGTCTCAAAAAAAAAAAAAAATCAAATCCCAAATGATACCAACAACAACTATGAGTGAAGTGACAGACAAAAGGAAAGGGAGTTACTGATTTTGTTTTTTATCTCCTGCTTAAAGTGAAGCCTGAGATGGAGATGACAGAGTTCAGAGGTCTCTTTCTTTGCTGTGGTGCATAGGGGAACACAGTTTTTGACAAATGTCCTAAATGGCTGAAAACACATCTGCTACCAAAAGCTTTAACTTTGAATGCATGGGCGTGACAAAAACAAGCTGCTCTTTCTTTCCTTTTTTAAAATTAAGTTTATTTATTCATTCACTTTACATCCCAACCCTAGCCCCCTCCCTCTTCTTTTTCTGGTCCCTCTCTTCCATGCTCTTTTCCCTTTTCCCCTTCCTCATCTTCTTTTTCTTGATGCCTGACACACTCACAGTCAGCTCCATCATACCCTGAATATTTCTTGGGAAAACCAAATCCATTTTGGAGCCTCACTCATGGCCAGTGCAGGACTACCTCCAGCCCCAAGGGAGATTCCCTGGATCCAGAACACTGGGTGCTGTTTTCATGGGAGGAGTGTGGTCACACCCAGCTTCCCGGGCAGGACAGTGCATCTGGGCGACAGCTGTTAACATGAGTTGTAGGAAACTGTAGCTGTTAGGATAAGGATGGATGACGGCTCTTCTTTGTTCCCACTGCCAAGGGTTGAGATCCATCTGTCCAAGTTTGAGAAACTGAATCATCCAAGACCAGTGTGAGGCCACCCAGATGCAACAGCTTCACTTTCACAGGCTTGATTTTCTCCTCATTTGTTATCAAGTTTGTCCTCCATGTTTCTGCACCCACGACCTCTCCAAGAACACAGACCCCAAAGCCCATGTTCTCAAAGATATTCATAGAACCTGGGCTGGCTGACTGGATGCCATAAAGCAGGGGAGCCTTCTCTGCTTCCTCTCCTAACTAGATGTGCTCAGCACTAGAGAATTACTCACTGTGCTTCCTCACCCACGCACTTGCTCACAATTTTATTCTTTCTTTGACTAACTCTGTCTTTCCCTAGCCTTCTAGTTTGTAACTCGCCTGCACTTGCATTCTTCCATCCCTCTGCTCAACCATCTGCCCACTTAACTATCCATTCATCCATTCATTTAACTAAAACCCAGTTTTAGTTTTTATCTTTTTGTTTTTTTTTTTTAGTTTTTATTTTTTTAATATTAATCACAGGCTATCTACTTTGTATCTCAGCTGCAGCCCCCTCCCTCATTCTCTCCCATTTCCACCCTCCCTTCCTCATCTCCTCCCTGTCCCTTTCCAAGCCCACTGATAGGGGAGGTCCTCCTCTCCTTCCACCCTAGCTAATCAGGAATCTTCAGGACTGGCTGCAATGTCCTCCTCTGTGGCCTAGCAAGGCTGTTCCTCCCTTGGGGAAGGTAAAGGAGCCAGTCATTGAGTTCATGTCAGAAATAGTTCCTGTTCCCCTTGCTAGGGAAACCCACTTGGATACTGAGCTACCATGGGCTACATCTGAGCATATAAAACTCAGTTTTATATGCAACCATCTATCTCATCTTCTAATGGAACCTCTCATCTATATGACCATTCTTTCATTCACCTATCAAACATTTTAAAGGATCCATATATACCAGGAATAAGGAAATTAGGAAGATAGATTCCAGTCTCTAAACATGGTATGGAAAAATGTGTGCATTTGTCACTAATCTATTGAACTTTGTTTTGGGTCCATATCTTTCTAGGCTGACAAAGAACGTTAACCCCAGTCATGTCTTAAGTCTTTCATGTTCTCTCTAGGGTTGTATATGGATTCTTTAGGAAGCAGAGTGCCTGAGACATAGGGAAAGGACAATCTGCTCTTTAAGCTATGTGTCCACTCCTGTTTCAGCTGTGTTTTCCTGGGTCTGACTACCCTCCCCTGGCTCAGTGTTCTGTTTGTGCACAACTTTTCTGCAAAGATGCTACAACCCACAGATACATCAAGAATGAAAACATTTAATCCCATTGATTTCAGTTGGAAAATACTGGAGTTGAGGCTGTACCCTTTAAATCATAAATCGCAATGGGAAGAGGGACTGCCTCTGACATAATCTGATTGGCCTGCTTTTTGATCACCTCCCCCTGAGAGGGGAGCAGCCTTACCAGGCCACAGAAGATGACAATGTAGCCACTCCTGATGAGATCTGATAGACTAAGATGAGAAAGAAGGAGAGGAGGACCTCCCCTAACAGTGGACTTGGGGAGGGACATGCGTGAAGAAAGGAGAGGGAGGGTTGGATTGGGAGGGGAGGAGGGGGGGTTATGGGGATACAAAGTGAATAAAGTGTAATTAATAAAAGTTAAAAAAAATCATAAATCGCAGGATCGGGAACTGTCTTCCACATCCTCTGGAGTTATATATAGTAAAGATGGCAGCCCTCCTGGTCACCTCTTTCTGTCCCTCCAAGCTGGGCGGACCATGGCTATCTGTTTTTATTCTGAAGGTCATTTCCTCCCTTTTATGTTTCTGCAATGAGTTTGTCATGGTCTCAATCTTCTCCTAATGAGATGGAGAATTTTTTTTTTCTGTTTTCTGCCCAGCCACATGTACCAGACTTAAGAGAGTGTACTTAAATGCAGTTAAAGAAAAAAGAGAGAAGCCGAGGGCTGTGCACATTTCTGTAATCCCAGCACTTGGGAGACTGAGACAGAGAGATCATTAATTTGAGGGAACCTGGGCTACAAGTGAGCCAATGTCTCAAAAACAAGAACAACAAAAGTATCTCAGTGGTAGAGAGCTTACTTTATACACGGAAGGCTCTGGGATCTATTCTCAACAATTAAGAAAATGAAAGCACGTATACACAAAAGAGGAAGGGCTAAAGGAAAAGGAGAGATGGCAAACAAAGGGGAAGGAAAATGGAGAAGAGAGAGAGAGAGAAACTGAAACTTTTAAATAGCCTGCCTATAAGTTGGATGCAGCAACCAATGTCTGTAGTGTGCTGGAGGCAAGGCTGACAGAGAAAGGGTGAGTGTGTTCTGTTCAATATGAAGCACCTTCAATGGGTCGGGAAGGGCAGCTTTGTTGAGAAAGAGGCATCAGAAGCTTTGAGAACCTAGTTTTTACCCTTGGTGACCTCGGCCTATTCAACCAGTTCTCCAGGGATCCAGGCATCTCTTCACTGTTCTGGCCCTGATGTCTGGCTAAGAACCTGGCCCTGAGATTAAGATGGTGCCTCAAAGACTAGGAGAAGGAAAGTGGGGGGTAGTATGTTTGCTTCCTGGGAAAAGACCCAGTGACCTTGCCCTAGTCCCTCCCCAGGACATGGGCAGGGTGAGACCCTCACAGCTAGCTTGTCTGTTTCTCAGGTTGTGTGGATCACAGCCACCCTGCCTTACTTTGTGCTATTTGTGCTCCTGGTCCACGGTGTCACACTGCCTGGAGCCTCCAATGGCATCAACGCCTATCTGCACATTGACTTCTACCGCCTCAAAGAGGCCACGGTGAGTGCCCAGGGGCCTCCTCGCATTGGGCCAGGTAGAGGAAGGCTTCTTAGGGTTGGGTGGTGATGGGTGCAGTAGCATAGGATTAAGAGGGGTGCATTTAAATATGCTTCTTTCTTAGTTGAGTACTTAGCTTACCACTCTGCTCTAGAGCAAGGACCGAGAAGCAACCTCTTTCCTGTGTAACTATTAGGAAGGGGAGAGAGCACAGTCCACGGGTCACCTTGAAACTTGGGAAACACAGTAAGCTTCCATGTGTTCTGCATCTTTCCTTCCCCTCATCAGTCAGCTATGCACTGAGTCCTCAGAGCAGTCTCAGTGAATGAATCTGGCCCCACATTTATAGTGGAAGGTTGGGAAATCCATAATAATGCAAGTAGAGACATGGCAGACATTATCCCACGCAAATGTCTTAGTTTAGTTGTACTGAATATAATTATAATATATAACATAACATCATATAATATTATAAATAATATATTATATATAAACATATAGTAATACAAGCATCCACATTGGAGAGGTGAGAATAACTAGGGCCAAACCTAGTTATTCTATGACACAAAGGTTGGAGAAAAACCCACATCTTTAGTCCACCAGCCGTATACTTTTGTCACCAGGGAGGGTGGAAAGGAAAGTGAACCGTATTGTCTCCAATGGCTTCCATTGGTTACCACTGTCTTCAATGGGAAGTCCAGCAGAAATCATTATTGTCTTAAGATCCCACCTCCATAACTCCTGAGATGGCCAGAGCTCTTTGGTCTTACCGTGTCAATATTCTAGCCTAGAACTTTTAGTTGATTAAGTTTCTTGAAAATCTGGACATTATGTGGATCTACTGAGCTCCCCCAGGATGTGATTACTAGGGTATTTGAGGTCAGAGATGCCAGGGAGATTCCAGCCTGTTACTGTAACTATGTTACATATGACATAGTTATATGTAACATTCCCTAGTCTACAAGCACACTTGGGAAGGTTATCTAGTCTGCAGGAAGTAGAGATGGAGATGAACTTTGTTTCCTGGTTTCAGGTATGGATTGATGCTGCCACTCAAATATTTTTTTCCCTGGGAGCTGGATTTGGAGTTTTGATTGCATTTGCCAGTTACAATAAATTTGACAACAACTGTTACAGGTAAGCGCCAACACTTTGAATGCTAAGGATTGTCCTTTTAGGAATATAGAGGAGGCTTTACCTAGATAGGAAGCCACATGTCCCCTGTAGACCATCCAGGTCATTTTGTGAACCTTGATGTCTATGGGGCCTGAGGAGAAAATTTCACTAGAAGATACCTCTTGGGAAAGTTGTGGTCAGCAGCTATAGGAACCCACAGGAAAGGATCTCTGGGACAGAGGAGCATGGTATGGTGTCCAGAGGAGGTGAAGCTGCCTGACCCTGTTCATCAGATACTCTGTCAGGCAGGAGCAGAATAAACAGTGAGGGATAGCTGGGATACAGGGCATCTTCAGGGGAGATGGGACATAAAAGAGACCATTTCCAGACTGGATCAACACGTACCTGATGCTACCTTTTGCAAACCCTGTGCTATGAGGACATCAAAGCTGGGGTAGATTTGGGCCTGCCTCTATCACTGAATTTAACAATTAAGGCAGAATGGCTGTCTTTGATTCAAGAAAGAACAGGATGAATGTACAACCAGGAGAGGTTGTACGGAGGTCAGAAAACAGGGTGGCCATCCCTTTAGTAGCGTGCTGCTTTTAAGAGTCTGGAAGTGAACCCGAGGCAAACCAGGGAAAACAGTTGAGATTATGGTAGGCAGATGTGGAACAGATGGCATTAGGTGGTAAGCAGTGGCATGGACAAAGACAGGGAGGCGACATGTCTGCGGACCAGTGGGTTGCTTTGCTCTGTTTGTTGCAAGAGTATATGCTAGAGTTCACGAGAAATAAGCCAAGGAAAAAGGGTGGATCATCTCAGCCACACTATGAAATGACAACACAAGTTGCTAGGAGGCATAGGGAGCCATGGAGAGTTTACTTTCAGAGAGAGTAACTCTGATCCCTCAGAGTTTATTTACCACATGACTTTGGTTAGCAATTTGCTTAAGCACTGCGCCAGCAGGTGGCAAGGCACTGGGTTCCATGTGACAGCAGGGCAAAAGAAGAGGGATGACCTTTGATGACTGAAGATTCCATAGGTGGCCAACTGTTCATGGGCAGAGTATGGGTGGAGTTGAGAGGACTTGAACTGTCAATAGCAGCCTCTCTCTCTATCAGGGATGCCCTGCTGACCAGCACCATCAACTGTGTCACCAGTTTTATTTCTGGGTTTGCCATCTTCTCCATCCTCGGTTACATGGCCCATGAGCACAAGGTCAAGATTGAGGATGTTGCCACTGAAGGTAGGTGGCACTTTGTTTCCAGGTAAATGAGGAAAGGCTGAGCTGGCTTCGTAGTGCCTCTATGGTTGGAGGACTGTGACATTTGGCTACAGAGGTTTTCTGGACTCTCATCTGTTGGCTTTCCCTCGAGGCCATTAGTGAACATTCCTAGCAACCCTTAGCTTGCTTACACATCTGGAAGTCCAGAGCACAGAGATCAGTTATCAGTTAGGCTTCCAGTGTGGGTCATATCTTATCATAGAGAGGTAGAAGTGGAAATGTCTGTGTGTCAAAAGACTCATGTTGTAGGACAGTCTTGAGTCATAGCAACCCAGTCCCCCAGAGCCTGTTTAACTCTTATCAAGAAGGAACTCTCAAAAAGAGGGTTACTCACGCTAACATCTGCTTATATCTTTAAAGTTCCCAAGCTTCTTCACATCACTATTTTGGGGAGCAAGCCTGAGCACGAATTTCAGTGGGCACAAACTGTGTTCAAAATATACCAGCATGCCTCCACTTAGTTCTCACAAACCAGCAAGGCAGAGGTTAATAGATTCCCTTTAAAGATCAGTGACTGGGGATTTAAGCTAAGTATGAGCAGGTGAGCAGTGATGTTAGCATTTGGCCCTAGTCAGCCTGACTCTGTAACCTCTGTCTTTCTCTATGGCCCTGTGACATGTTCTTAAGGGCACAAGGAAGTTGGGACCCGGGGAAGGGCAGCCTTTAATGGACTCCGAGGATTCTGAGTTTCTGAGAAGCAGAGTAGAATCCTGCAGAGTAGAAGGTGGATTGGCCACACATGACTCATAGCTGTTAAGGCAAGGCGCCACTCTTGCTGCCTGCTTGTTTGATGCACAGATTGTGTTCACCTGTTTTTATTACTATGAACAAAATAGCTGAGATAATTGATGTATAAAGAGGACAGAGCTACTTGACTCACAACCTTGGAGGTTTTAGTCAGTGTCCCCTTGGCACTCTTACTTTGGGACCACATGGTGGAGCAACCTGTTCACCTAATGGCCGAGGTGCAAAAGGAAGAGGAGGGAAAGGGTCTTGGGTTCCAATATCTCCTACAAGCGCACATACTCAGAGTGGAAGACTACATTGGTTCTCGTCTCTTGAAGTTTCCACCACTTCACGATTGCAGTTTGGGGGCAGTTTGGGGAGCACCAGAGATCTGAACAATAGCACAGCTGAACTGTGGCTCCATCTCTCATTCGCAGATGAGTCTGTGCTGCCACACATGGCTGACCGAGTGTTCTGAGGCTGGGCTGTGCTCCCCTGCCCTATGCAGCCCCCACTGAGCTTCCCAGCCATTGATCAGGCCCTACTATTTCTTACAGGAGCTGGCCTTGTGTTTATCCTGTATCCAGAAGCCATCTCCACTCTGTCGGGATCTACGTTCTGGGCTGTCCTGTTCTTCTTGATGCTCTTGGCTCTGGGGCTAGACAGCTCAGTGAGTGATCCCTCTCAGAACACCTTTCTCCATCCCTGCGACTCATTACAGTACTCAGCCTGCACGGCTGTTGCTGTCTGTGTCTGTTCCCAAGGGCCCTATTTTAATCCAAACAATGAAGTGACTCTCCCTTCAAAATGATAGCCTAGGTCAAAGCCAGGAACTTACAGGAACTCCAAATTGTACTGGGCCTCAGACACGCCAGCCCAACACTCTGCTTTTGCAGCTGGGGAGCCAGACTTCAGAAAGAACATGAATAGAATGTTCTGTGACTCAGCACTTTCCCATTCCTTATATTTTATTACTGACAACCAACCCAACCGTTTTGAGCCCTGTCTGGTTACTAGATCCTTGTTTTATTGTTTTTATTATTATTTAGTTATATGCAGTGTTGAGTTCCTGACATCTTTTTATGTCTGTTTCCACCCTTCATTCTTAAATGCCTTAGGGAGGGGCTGGCGAGCAGATCTCACTGTCTTTGCCTTTCACTTGGTCGGTCTGCCAGAGAAGGGACTCAGAAAGGACTCTGAGCCTGATTCCAGACCACGGGGAAGACTACTAGTGTCCATTAACAATGTTTGCCAAGGGCAGAGGAGAGGGGCAAGGGACATGTGTGATTACTGTCTGCCACAACAGTGGCTCATAAGGAATAGTCTCCAAAAGTGTGTACTTAAAGTGACCACTTTGCTTGGTGATTAGAAAGGCAGCAAGGAACTGTTGTCATATACTGTGATTGAAGTTCCCAATCTGGAGAAGGTCTTTGGTTGATGTTTGCAGAAGGTTCTATTTGCATGTAGATGTGTCAGTCTGGGCAATAGTGTCCCCTGCTATCTGTTTCTCATCAGTACCCACACAGGTTGACCAAGTCAGGGGTCAGGGACCTGTAACTGAGGCAGAACCATAGGAGTTAACTCTTCACCAGTTAAGATTGGGGTTGAAAGAGGGAAAAGGCACTTGGGAGGGAGGCAGGGACTGATGTAACTGAGGCTGGACCACAAGAACACCTTCATTCCTGCTCCACCTTTCTGGTTCTGTACAGATGGGAGGCATGGAAGCAGTCATCACAGGACTGGCCGATGACTTCCAGGTCCTGAAGCGACACCGGAAACTCTTCACATTTGGTGTCACCATTGGTACCTTCCTTCTGGCCATGTTTTGCATAACCAAGGTGAGGCTGGACAATGTGGGGCTTTCTAGGACTGTGTTTCAAAATTCCAGACAATCTCAGCCTTGGTACTGGGATGGGCTGGGTGAGGCTGAGCACGGGGGCTCTGTTAAACAGTGTATCTATAAAACAGTAGATCCCTGCGTCCTTCAGCTTCTTCTGGGGCTGATGGTTTCCAAGCACTATATTATTTACTACTCATTGACTCAGGGCCAGCAGAAGTTCTCTGGAAACTTATCCTGTTTCCTGAGCATAAACTGTTCCAGCCAGCAGCTCCTAGAGCCCTTGGTTAGAATGCAGGCATGGATGTGTAACCCTGTCACCATGTTTGTAAACAGGGTTCTGAACATGTGAATGGGGATAGGTAAGATTAGCTAGGTGTAGTCAGTGACTGTTAATAGCCAAGGATGGCTCAAGCCCTTTCTCTCTGTGCCCCAGGGAGGAATTTATGTCCTCACTCTGCTGGACACCTTTGCAGCAGGCACCTCCATTCTGTTTGCGGTGCTTATGGAAGCTATCGGGGTTTCCTGGTTTTATGGTAAGTGAGTGTGTTACTGCTTTGGTCACTAGATTTCCTGGAGTGTTTTATCTGGAGAGGAAAGGGGGCTTTTCAGGTCCAGGGCAGCCACCTGCATCTCCAGAAGTAAGCAGCTCCTATTAAATATAGGTGTGAGTCTCTCAGACCCTCAGCTCACTGGGCTATAAAGACCCAAGAGACACCTGGTGCCAGCCTCTGAAATAGAAATCTGTAGAGAGCTGCAGATCCACAGATGTGGATCCAGACAGCTCAAACAAACAAAACCAAATGGCTGGATAGACTTGAACTTCAGGTGAAAAATGAACATACAGTTTTAGGTCCATTGAGCCAGGATGTTATGCAGAATCTACTGATACTGACTTTTTTTTCATTATGTGACTGAATTTAAGACTTAAGTAGATACACTGTATTTCATTTGCCAAACCGTCACATATGTTATCATTGTTCATTTCCCCTTTATGTGACACTAATGGGTTAATCTTGTTCTTGCTCTTTGTGGAAGAGATCGTAGGTTGAGTGCCTAACAATCTCTTTCAGATTCTGGTTGTGGGGTGTCCATATGCGTGCACATAGATTTTCACAGAAGGACTATGCAGGGGAAAGAGCCAGGCTGGGGTCAAGTCACCTGGCTCCTCAGTCTGGGTCAGCTCCCCCCTTCCCTGAGCTCTGGCTTCCCTCTCCTAAGATAATCGGAATGGCACACTAAAGGTGACTCTGTCCCATACTTTGTCCTCTCCCTTGTTTGCACTTAGCGAAGCTCCTGCCAGGCCTCCTGCATTCCAAGGTGCCAGAACCTCACGTAATGGTGTCAAGGGAGGCCCCAGGCCTTCATCTTCGGGCTCCCCGTGACAGGCTTGCTCCCTGTGTTCACAGGTGTGGACAGGTTCAGCAATGACATCCAGCAGATGATGGGCTTTAAGCCAGGCCTGTACTGGAGACTGTGCTGGAAGTTTGTGAGCCCTGCCTTCCTCCTGGTGGGTAGTAGGGTGTGGCTGGGGTACCTGTAGGAGGGTGTTGGGGGTGGGTGGGCATACTTATTTCCTTATTTGGGGGAGGAAGTGTTGGGATGAAAGCCCTAGCCATGCAGGTGGGCCCCTTAGGGGTGGGGGATATTTCACCTTAGAGGGTCTCCAGCCAGGTCTCCAAGGTGCCTGTGCTGGCTCCAAAGTCACTTTCATTCTTTCCTTCCCCCTGTTGTCTTCCCCACCTTGAATCTGTGCTATCACTTGCCTTTTGAATGCCTCTTCTTTTCTTTCTCAATTCCTCCCTCATTTTCTCCTTCTATGATCATCTCATTTTCTTTCTGTCCCGGCCATTCTCTTCTCCCTTACCTCATCCCTCTCTTTTCTTCGTTTCTCCCTGTCTCCACCTTCTCTCTCTACCACCATCCCTTCCTTCCCCCAGTTTGTGGTGGTGGTCAGCATCATCAACTTCAAGCCGCTCACCTATGATGACTACGTCTACCCTCCCTGGGCCAACTGGGTCGGGTGGGGCATTGCCCTTTCATCCATGATCCTGGTGCCTGCCTATGTCATCTACAAGTTCTTCAGCATAAGGGGCTCCCTTTGGGAGGTAAGCTATGGGACAGCTATTGTGGGATGAGGGAGGAGAGGGAGAGGGATAAAGGTCTGCATACCCACCTCCTCTACCAAGATAACCCACTCCGAGCCTCAGTTTCTACATCTGTAACCTGAGAATAATACTGTGTATCTTGGAAGATAAAAACACTTGGGTGCCAAGAAGCTGGACCATGGGAGGTGCTTCCTGCTCGCTTCCTGCCAGTGCCTGTGCTGCTTCAGGTGGTCACACAAGAAAGCAAAACTCAGCCACATCTGTCCCCTTTTAATGTAATGTCTCCAGATAGCCCATCTCTCCTTGCCAGGGCCCCTCTACCATTTTTTTCTAATCATAATAATATGGTCAGCCTAAACCAGAGGTTACTGAAATGACTCCTTTTTATTTTTATTTTTTACATGTATGAATCATATATACACATATGGAGATACACACACAGCAGGGTGCCTTTTATCCTGAAGTTAAGGTCAGGACTCTTATTTGGCCGTGTAAACTAGTGGTGGTGGTGGTCTTTCCAAATGTCTTTACTTGGTAAGGCCTTCGCCTCACACCTGGGCTGCTCTCCCTGAGTCACCCAGGCTCCCTCCCTTCTCCCTTTTCACAGAGACTGGCCTATGGGATCACACCAGAGAATGAGCACCACCTGGTGGCCCAGAGAGACGTGAGACAGTTCCAGGTAAATGCAGAACTGATCTTGGGTTGTGTATGGCAGGAGGTGGTGGGTTCTTGGTTGGGTGCCCCAAGCAGGATCACAGTCAGGAAAATCCAGGTGGCAGCCAGCTTCACCTCTGAGACTGCGGTCATGGGGGCAGAAGGCGATGAGACTATGTTGTGTCTCCACCAAGCCTCCTCCTGTTGCTGCTCTGTTGTTTCCTAGTCCTGGGATGCCAAGGGCTGGAATGTTCCTAGTTTTCTTCTGCCTGTGAAGTGTCATCACACTAAGCTGAGCATTTCATATCTCGAAATGAAATAATAACATGCCGAGGGCCCAAGCAGTGAGGATGGTGCCTGTTGAGCTCCCCCTTCTGTGGTTGTTTCTTAGCATCCAGCACCAATTAGGAAGGGGGTTCTGAGGTCTGTGCCAGGAAGTATGCTGTTTGTTTTGCCTCCCCTTTGCTTCTGGTTGACCCAACCAGCTGGCCCTTGGCCCTCTAAGTCCCTACTGGCCTTGTCTTCACTATGCTGGTCTTCTTATCTCCCATTGCAGTTGCGGCACTGGCTGGCTATCTGAACCTGGCCCTTAGGAGGAGGAACCCATGTGCCAACGTCCAGGTTAAGGGCATCTCATGGCCCCCATGTGGACACCACCTTGGGGTTCCTCTCCTGGAAGATGCCTTTCCCATCCCTCTTGCTTTCCTGGTTACTAATGACTCTGTGACTCTGGTTTTTGTTCACCTTCTGTTCATCTGGCCCGGAGGCAGTGAGTGTGGAGAACTAGGGGGCCTTGAGGAAGAGGATGAAAGGAGGCAATGGGACATGGATTCTGGAACTCTGGCTTTTGAGCAATCTCACCGTGTTGGGAGCACACCTGACCTGAGGTCATGGCTCAGGCAAAAACCCCTTCTGAATTTGCTTGTACCTCTGGTCATGGAAGAAATCTTCAGTTCACCAAGGCTGAGAAAAGATTGGCTTTTGGTTAGATATCAAAAGCCCAACCAAAGCCTGATGGGCTCTGTGTGGGAGCCAAAATATACAGTTACCCCTCTCTGTCCATCTAGTCCCCACACTGGGATCTGAGCCTCTGTTTGGGAGAGGGGGGAGTATTTGCACCTAAAATGTGGCTGGTAGATGTTTAGGGGGAGGGGTTGAGCAGAAAGTCTCTGACTTGGTTTTCTAGTTAATTAGTTAATTAAGATTGGTTTTGGAATGTTCTAGAATATTACTTTACTGACTTCTGGTGTTTGGATAGTCCCAAACCATGATGTTAGGGAAGGAATATAGCTCCACCACATGTGAGAAAGTTCCACAAAGTCAAGCAATCTAGGAAGATGGTGACTGCTAGACGAATCCCGCCTGGTCCTGGGGATTGAAGCAGGGTCTCCCTGAAGCCCATATGTGTGCCCATCATAGAGATCTCTGTCCTGTGGAGCCAGGTGGAGCCAGGTGGGGCCAGGTGGGGCCAGGTGGGGCCAGGTGGGGCCAGGTGGG